CGGGCGCAGCCGGAGCCACCCCATCCGCGCTGCCCCGAAGTCCCAGGAAAGTTTCCCTGCGCCGCCCACGAGCGGGACTTTCCCGAAGTCAGGGCGTGGCAGAGCAACCCGCGCCCCCCAGTGGCTGGCGCGCCGGGACGCTGGGGCTTGCTCCGCGCCCGCCAGGGGGCTGCCCGCTGGTGACCCCTCCCCGGGGCCGCGCTGGGGGCGGACCTGCGCGAACTGACCTGGCCAAGCGGGAGCAGCGCCCCCACCTCTGGGGGCAGCTAAGCGCATCCTCCCGCCACGGTGCTGGGCTCCCGCGTCTCCTGGAGCCGGCTGGTGGCTCCGTCTGGGCACTTCAACTCCCCCCTCTGGCAGGGTGCAGGGAGCTGGGCTGAGAGGAGGGCTCCGCGCCGCTCCGGTCGGCTGGGAGGGAAGGACGCGGGCTGCCCTGCCGAGTTTGCTGCAGGGTGCTCCCCTCCTTCGGGCCGCCACCCCCAACAGGGCGGCCTGAGCGGCACATCAAAAAGAAAAAGGAAAAAAAAGGGCGGCCGGAATGCCGCCCCTTGGAATCTGCTGCCCCAAGCACCAGCTTGCTCCGCTGGTGCCTGGAGCCGACCCTGCTGATGCCTGTACCTTCCCTCCTAGTCTGGGGAATGATAGGGGAAACTGAGCCACCCTCTCCTCTGGATTCCAGCCCAGGAATTCAGGTGGTTAAGGACTATTGCTTTAATCCCTCTGCCATTTTCCTTGGGCTGCTTCTACCTTTGCCCAGCTTCTTAAAATCTTCCCCAGGTCTCTGGCGCCTCCTGGAATCTATGGTTCCTCACTATTCTTCTTTGCCGGTTATGATGGTACTCCTTCAAAGCTATTCCCAGCCTTTATCACAGCAACTGGGCTGTGATGAGTAAGTGCATCTGTTGCCTGGGAGCAGTCAGTCTTTCCTTTCTCTGAGCAGGAGTTTCCCTCCTCAGCCCTCTTTCCTGGAGATGGGTTGCCTCTTGCCATAGGGTAGTCTATCTTATCCTTCTTTTAAACAGAAGCCCCTTCTTCAGCCCTCTCTTTTTCTCAAGAGCTGGAAGTTATATAGTGTCAAGCAATATCTCCCTCCTTCAAGCAGGAGTTCCCTCTCAGCCCTCTCACAGGAGCTAGGGTTTTCTCTCAGGCCTCTTTGCCTTAGGTTAATCAGTCTTATTCTTCTTCAAGTGGAAGTTCCACCTCCAGCCCTCTTACTGGTTGTGGCTGAGGTTGTGCCAGTTCTCTTCAGCTGAACAATCTTCTAATTAGCCTTTTCCCTTTGGAAGGTTCAAAAGGCCAGTCTTCTCTCACTGGTGTCTGCCTGCTGTGATGGAGGGAGGCAGCTTTTGAGCTGGTTCCTTTTTCCAACTGCTTCTCAGCTGGTTCAGTGAAAGGGGAGCCTTGTCCTGTCCTCTCTGTAAGGCTTTGGTCCCTTAAATGTACAGTATCAGGATTTCTTCCCCAAGAGCCATTCCTTAACAGGACCCTTATATCTATTAGGGCCATTCCAGGGGGTGGGGTGGGATGACCACTAGACACTACTGCCCTAGATGGAAGACTGCCCCATGACACTCCCCAAACTGGATCGGGGCCCAATTGTGTTAGGTCCTAAAGCAATTGGAAAATTATCCTAATTTTCTACAAGTTTCACCCCTCTTTCTTCGGTATAATTCTTCCTTAAGATTAGCTCCATCATGTTTGTATTTTAAATTTCAGTAGTTGAAAATGAAAGTGTGAGCTGTGCATTCTGCACTTGCAGCCACTCCGCCCAGATCTTTTGTCTGTCAATTGAATTGAAACAGGCAATAAAGAAATAAAGCATATTACAGCAATCAAGCGTGCACAAATAAGGAATGCAGTACTTACTCGTTAAAGGCCATATCTTGCAAGGCACTGAATGCTCTGACCTTCCATTCACTGCAACAGGAGTTCAGACCATTCAGACCCTTGCAGAATCAGATTTAGATTTATAAGAGCTGAGTCAAACGAGCAGATTGAGTGAGCTCTTCTCCCTGCTCCAGCCTCTTTGTACTGGTAAAGGAGCCCTAAAAGCCCAATATCTGGCCATGGAGGATTCCCCCAGTGCAGGAACTATGGAAGACATCTGTAAGGCTGCCTCCTGAGGACCCTCTCACAAGTTCTGGCATGCTGGGGGCCGAAGAGGCATGCCAGGGGCAAGGCCCCAGCATGCAGTTGTGAAGATTTCAGGCCACACTGTGGCTCATCAGGCAGCCCTGGGAAGCTGCCATAAATTAGATGGGGGACTGTAATTATGCTGGGGGCCACTCCAGCACAGAATCTCACCCATTGTATAGAGGATCCTGTATGCCAGATCCAGGTGAACTAGAATCTCAGTATTTGGAAGCAAGAATATTTTTAAGGAAAATTTAATTAAGAAAACATCTAAGAAGAATTAATGGGTGCTGATGTAAATGGTGTCTGATTTGTAAAATTAACAAATGCAACTTGCTGGGTTTTTTTCAATATAAAAGATATCCTGTACCATACAATGTTTAATAAAAAATAGCAAATACTGACATAAAAAAACTTAAGGATACAAGTGAGCAACTATACAAAGATGAGAAAACATTTTACATTTTTACAAAGACAACAAGTATTTTGTAACACATACCAGAATGTGTATTATAACTAAAGATTACTCCTCTACCTTGATAAGGTTGAATATGGGGGATGGGAAGTAAAGAGTTTGCAAAACTAGTGGTACAATAATAATGAATGTATCGAGATACAATACAACCTGTTTGAAATAAAAGGTTTATTGTGTGTAATAATGCAGAGGTGGAAAGTACATAGTGGGTTATATGTTTAGTATTTTAAAATTTCATTTACCCAGAGAGTGCAATTATTTTAGGCACTGTTTAAAAAAGATACTTAAGCATGTATGTAATTTTAAGCAGACAATTAGTTATTTTAAGTCAGTGGGTCTGCTCACATGCTTAAATACCTTGCTGCATTGGAGTTATAATTAAATGTGCCATTATTATTGTTGTTGCTGTTAAATAGTTATGTTATGCCGGCACCCGGAAGCCCCAGTTAGGATCAGGATTCCATTGTTTTAGGTATTGTGCAACACACAGAAAGAAATAGGTTCTTTCCTTCAGAGTTTATAATCTAAGAACATAGTTTTTGTTAATCAAGGTAATGAAATGAATATGAAATATATGATCTTAGCAATACAAAATTAAACCAGTTTTAGACAACTACTATGGCATATAATTCTTTATTTAAAAAGAGCACTGTATATATTACCAAAAAGAAATGACAACAAAAGTATAGTGGGAACCATTTGGAAATAGACATTTAGTCCATTATGTTTACTCCCACATAAGTGTGTTGTAAGCTCCACTGGGCATGAACTAGTTTTTTGTTCTGTAGTAGTGCGTAGAACATAACTGAGGCTCCTAGATGCTATGATAATACAAATAATAATTTATAATTTGTAATAATTGTGGTATTATCAATACATAGAATAGAAAATATCACATAAACATGGTATATTTTATTTTCTGTCATATGTGTTTACCTGGAAATTAAAATGAAGCAAAAACCTGCCAATATCTCATTTTTTAAAAAAATAAAAAATATATAGGAATTATTGTCTTCCTGCTTTTCCACTTCTACAGAGTTCTGCTCTGCCCTCATTCCAGATCTTCTGGGAATATTGTGTTCTTTTGTATTTCTCAAATAAAAAAATTAAAAAACTCTTTTAGACCCCAATCATGCAAGTACTTCCATATTTGAGTAGCTTTATGCATGTGAATAGTCAAATTGGGTTAGTGGAACTGCTCACCTCTCTAAAAATATTTTGTGATGTTGTGGGCTAAGTTTCATCACAAATTTTTAACCTCTGAAAACAGGGGTAACAAGGGGAAGAGGGGAAGGAGATGGTACTCTTCCAAACCCCTCCCACAAAATAAGGTGCACCCATGTGAGTTGCTAAAATGTGATGGCACCCATAGTAGATTGTGCGGATATTCAGAATATGATAGAGCCTGACACTTGGCTCCTCCTCAGGGGGGCTGTTAGTATGCCCATGGGCTTTGCTAGGGTCTTTGATATTGTCTCCTTGACTGGGGGTGGGGGTTGGGGAGGGAGGGAAATAAGTGGTGCTATTTTCCAAACACCACCCACCTGTAGAACCAAAACAAAATGTCACTTACAATACATTGTGCTCATCTGTGATTCTCCCACATCTTTCTTACATCAGGAATGGAGTTGTTAACAATGTTGACATTAAAAAATGTCATTACTGCATATTTGTCTTAACATCTCACTGAGGTGAATGGGGCAGATTACATCACTGAGTTATTGTTCCAGGCTCTCTGCAGCCTCACATGGATGTTTCTACGTGGTTTACATTTGGTCACATTATTTAGTTGTTCTTCACAAACAGCTAGAGACTTTTTTTTTAATTAAATCTCTGATTCTAGAGAACAAGATAGTGGTTTCAGAACACCATATGAGGTCCATGCTGGCTGCTTTTTACTTCTGTTTTCTTTGTTTAATGGAAACAAGAAGGGACTTTTACCTTTAAGAGCACAGACACAATCACAATATGTTTACAGGTTGTGGCTTGCTAGGTTTCCTCAAAAAAAATTTGAGTCAGCTTTCCATTGTTTGGTTCCTGTTTCCTTCTCTGTGAAGTCTGAAGCACCAAAGGTTACCTCCATATATGAAAAACAGGCAAGCAGTATCCTTTTGAAGCCAATATTAACATCATTTCATGAATAATAGCAGTCAACAGATGCCCCCAAAGATGCTTTTTTAGTTTTCTCCTGTTCTCTTCAATTATGTTAAGAAATGTCTGCCGGACTAAACAATAAGTGATTTTTGTGTCCATTTTGGAACTCCTGTTGCCTCATAGTCATAATGTTACCTGCATCTGTGACACCTGATACAATTTTGGAAAAGAAAGAAGAGTATTCATTATTTGTAAAACGCACCTCAGTATATTCTTTTTTCCTCACTCTGATTTTTAGCTTGGGAGCAACAGTACAATTCTCCTGTGATGAAGACTATGTGTTGCAGGGGGCAAAAAGTATCACCTGTCAGAGGATAGCTGAAGTGTTTGCTGCATGGAGTGATCATAGACCCATGTGTAAAGGTAAAGACAAATTCTTAAACTATTATCACTGTTCTTTGGTTTTCACAATTACTCTTTTGCATTGTTTTACATTTGAAATGATGTCACACTGAAATAATGTCGCATTGTTTTTTGTTTTCTTTTACAAATATATCAATGTTTTCGCTCCTCTTTTCCTTATTTCTTTAATGAGCAATCCTTTTTTGTTTAAAATACATGTGGTGTTACATTTGTTTACCCATTTCTTGAATAAAACCTGACAAATACAATTGGTTTCCATTGGAGGCGTCCTACCATAAATGAGAGCCTAATGGAAGACATTCACTTTAGTAAATAAATAAAACAGATGACTGTTCAGTGACCTATGATACAAATTTCATGTTTCAAACTTGTGATTATTGTGTATGCAATCACTAGTTCATAATGAATGTCCCATATTTCAAAACTGTACTGCTTGAATGGTTGAAATCCATCAGGAAGATTGACCTTTGGGTCAACTCTTATGGGAAAGTTAAATGTTAGGATTTCAATTTTTTGGTGCTCAGCAACCCATGATGAAAGAATGTTCCAAATTTCAGTATTCTAGGCCAATGGGAACATGAATGTTAATTGTGTCAGTCAGTTTGCCATACTCTGCATGATATATGTTATATTAAATAATATTATTTCATAACTTGACAAAATTAAGAAGAATAGCCTTGAACAAAATGAAAGGACTTTGCATGAGGTACTGAATTTTGTCACTATATCCATGGGCTAGAAAGCCTGGGGATGTGAGTGAGTGAGTGAGTGAAAGCAAACAAGCAAACAGGGCTGGGAGCTGAGCTCTGACCAAAAAGAGCTTGAGGACTGACAACTTCAGGTAGAGCACATTGACAGAGAAAGATCTCTGGGTGTAGCTGAAGAACTGGAGCTAAGTGTGGCTTGTTGAATTATGATTTTTGGATTTTATGTTGAGGCCTTATTGAACGATTGTTTGAATTATTTTGTGATTAAGGGCTCTGAGGTTTGTGTAAATTTTAGTTGATATTAAACCAGCCATAGAAAGAGGGTGCTGTGGGTTGTAACAGAGGCTGTCTGGAATATTTAAGAGTCCCACAAAATGGGACTCAGAGATGCCTGTATTGTCACACCTTTACCACAAGGGGCCGTTCAATAAGTGGTCACACCATTACAGTCATTCTACCAGAATGTCGATGGTATATTGTCACTGTCATTTCTTTTTTCACTTAAAAAATTCTATTAATGTGTAGTAAAATGTTATCAACAGTAATGTATACCTATAACACTAAGATACATGCATGCCATTCAGGAAATTCTGAAAGGCATTACCGACTAGCTTTTTTGTTTTTTCAGTCAGATGTCCTTCAGCCACCTGCTAACTGTCAGTAAACACATTTCCTTGCATTTCTCTGTGCAGTGTGCCTTTAGAAGTGTAGCAGTAAATTTCTGAATAAATTAGTATAAAGGAAAACCAATATCTGGGATTTATCTTTGATAATTTCTACAAATGTAACTACAGTGAAGAATGCATTGTGCAATCATAGACATTTGAATAATAATGTAAAATAAAAAGGAAGCTTAACAACCAAGCTAAAAAAAAAAGATAGAAAAAGTTGATATCCATGGGGAAAGGTAGAGTTGCTGATCGTCTTTGTGCATATATATAGGTACCACGTTAACTAAATATCTCACAAGACCAATTAATTCAAGGGTAAAATATGTAACTGATAACTGAAGAGAGAGTGTCATTTACATCCTTGTGCTTGCCTACTTAATAAAAGTAGTACATGCTTTTTTCAGAGCAGATGATGCATGTTAAGAAAGTTATTAGCAGTTAATATAGTGACATATGGTGAAAAGACAAATAGACAGATGGTATAGATATAGCAGTTTGTCATCCAGCACATGCTTTATAGTGTTCATTAGTTTCATTAAAAGTACCTTTGACACAAATTTGGTTTATTCTGTGGATTGATTAGCAGTTTTTGTTATACTCTTGAATTGAATAAAGTCTTCAGATTATAAACTAAGTTTTTCTACACAATAATAATTGGCTCTTTGAAGGTCTATACGTAAAATGTAAAACAAATATTTTAGAGGGATCACTGTTAGCACAAATACCATTTTGATAATAAGGGTTGCAATGGAAGCAACTGCAGAAATATATGTACGCCTCTTTCGTCAATTTACATTTGTGTGCACAAGCAAGCATTTGAACAAACAAAGCAAGCAATTGTGCATAAATGCCAGTTTGTGCAATAAATAGATTTTTTCATGTGTCAGTGAAGGGTTCTGTCAGTGCAGAGGGTACAGTTATATTTTAAAAGATGCATCTGTTGCTCTCCTTTAAAATTTTAACGGAATGGTTTTTCAGTGTCATGTTTGATGTCCTCCCTGGATGTCATCTCCTATAGCTCTTTTAGTTAATTTATGTAAATGATTATACATTTGCAAAACCAATTGAAAGTACACTTTTGAAAAAATGGCAATTTGAATATTAACAATTAGTTACATTTATGTTCTGGGATTGCTTTGAAAAATTTTAAACTGAAAATTTCCAATTCCATTTGATTCATTTGATTCAACAACATAAATCCTCCTGACTAGTTCTCACAGGGCATATGAGTGGCTGATAAAAATGGAAGTTTTAGCTCACTTTAGAAGTTATCAAAAATACCAGCTGGAACTGGCATAGGATCATATTTGTTAAAATAAAAGTTAGAATGAGTCTGAAGCATTTCTGCAGGAGAAATAAAACGAGGTGCTCCGAAGAAAGAAAAAAACTGATACATCACTTATAAAATATAGACAAACACATACTGCTGTAGATTAGGAATTTCCTGTAACCCTTAAGAAAAGGACTAATTTTCAGACTAATGTTTCCTGGTAGGGCAGACTAATTTCTGAACCCGCTGGTCTGTGGCAGACACTATAAAGAAAGAGGCAGAGTTATGCTGGAAGTCTTATTTCAGCTGGCCCTGCCTTGTCCCTACTGGCAATTATCTCTGTTTTCTTGGCGTACTTTTCCAATGAGTCCCACCATCTCTCTCCAATATATCCAGGAGGCTGGTTGGCAGTGAGGAAATAGTGGAGGGGAGCAGGAGGCACTTTCCCTGCTGCATTTCTGAGGACACTTTGAATGCTCACAAGCCAGGAGGATAGCAAGACAGTTTTGGAGGGAGAAGGAAGGAGTGCAAGGGTGGAGCTGGAAGCGAACCATGACTCTGTATATGTGGAAAGAGGTGGGGTTCATTGAAGTGGGCAGTTTCTGAGGGTACATTGCTTATCCTTCATACCTCATGAGGATATGGGATACTCATCCTTTTAGTGCTATGGATTAAGTTATATAGAAATTGGAAAGATTTAGAGTTCAAACCAAATTAGAACACTGAAAGTGAATTTCACACTCTCCAAACTTTGGGAAACCGATCCAATTTTTTGACAATACCCCAAATCTAATTTTAACAAAGAATATTCTGTTCATGTACATTTTTTTTTTTGAAAAAAAGAAGCTGCACTGTTGTAATGAGATACTGCTCTTACATTGTGTGAGATATGTCATATCTTTTCATCCGAAATCTTGATTGGTAGCTCCATGCAGAGTTCACTGGAAGTCATAAAAACATCAGTTGCTGTGGTGAGGTTCAGATCTGAAAGAAATCCTTGCAAACATCCAGCATGACACAAAGAAATGAAATAATTTGACAATCTGTACCCTGGGGGATTCCAGGAGTAGTTAGGGATCAATGAATACCTCCAAACTGTGCACCTCTTTGACACATGATTTCAACAAATTCTCTTAAGAAGAGATCAGAAACCATAACTGTCACACCCCCAAGATCATTCCCCAGTGTATTTTCATCACCCACCCTTTATCTGCATTGAGAGTTTGTCATCTTGGCCAAACCCAAGCCCTCACTGTGGCCAGACATTGGGAAAGCACTGATATCAAACCTTTTGAGTGTGATGAAGATACTGGTGACACTGCAGCTCATATAACGATGCTAGTTCCCTTATAATCTAAAAAAATGTTGACTAGAAAGATGACTGAACAAGAGCCTGGCTTAAGCCTGCATGATTGCTTCCTTGGGCAGAAATATAAACCACCCTCTGGAATCTCAGAGGGGACAATTCAGATCATTATATAGAAAAATCCTCCAGTGCAGAAAGGAACTGCAAACAAGATAGCAAATCTTCATGACAAAAAGGCCTCACCACAACCACAGTAGTTGGTGAGATGGCCAGTGCCAGGCACTGGATTCTTGAATAAAGGCTTAATGAATGCTTGTCAAGGCTGTATCCCCACTTTGAACCTTAGGGTACAAATGTAGGGGCCTGCATGAAAACTTCTAAGCTTATCTACCAGCTTAGCTTTGGTCCGCTGCCACCATCACAAGAATTCCCTCCCTGGGAAGCCTTGAGAAACCTTTCACCAATTCCCTGGTGAACACAGATCCAACCCCCCTTGGATCTTAAAACAAGGAGAAATTAACCATCCCCCCTCCTTCCTCCCACCCTCCTTTCACCAACTCCTGGTGAATACAGATCCAAACCCCCTTGGATCTTAAAACAAGGAGAAATCAATCTGGTTCTTAAAAAGAAGGCTTTTAATTAAAGAAAAAGGTAAAAATCATCTCTGTAAAATCAGTATGGAAAATAACTTTACAGGGTAATCAAACTTAAAGAGCTCAGAGGACCCCCCTCTGTCTTAGGTTCAAAGTACAGCAAAACAAAGATAAACACTCTGGTAAAAGGTACATTTACAAGTTGAGAAAACAAAGTAAATCTAAGACGCCTTGCCTGTCTTTTTACTTACAAGTTTGAAATAGGAGAGACTTGTTTAGAAAGATGGGGAGAACCTGGATTGATGTCTGGTCCCTCTCAGTCCCAAGAGCGAACCACCCCTTAAACAAAGGACACACACCAAAGCCTTTCCCCCCCAAGATTTGAAAGTATCTTGCCCCCTTATTGGTCCTTCGGGTCAGGTGTCAGCCAGGTTACCCGAGCCTCTTAACCCT